CGAAAGGGCATACGAAGGACCCTTCAAAGTTCTTTGGCGTTAACCCAAGTACTATATCATCAATAAGAACGTCATCAATCGCTTCAAAGCCGCACATTCAGAAGAAAACCATATTTGTGTCGATTTTCCTCCGGTATAATCGAAAATCACGAGTCTCACCGTTACGACACTTCACCCGATAATGAACAATCACGATGGCACTTCGGTGGTATCTGACAGTCAACTAAAAACAAAGCGTTCTGGTTGAAGAGTAAGTTTCGCAGAATATGCAAACGACTACTGCACGTAAGGAACTAAATAACACTTTGTTTAACTACGATTTTTTTTGTATTAATATGTCCAGAACAAATAGAAACAAACCGTTGTTAATATAATCATACATATATTTATTCCTTTAATTAAAAAAAATCAAATTCTTTATTTCTAGTGTGCCCTTCTGTATGTGTGTATACTTTTTTCGAAAAAGAAAGAAAAATTGTTCTACAACAGTCATTTTCACTCTATTGCTTGTCTACAAAATGCATGTATATATGTTTGTTTCCCTTTTTTCTACTGTTTTGTGTCTTTACGCACGAACGAGTGTAATTTGGCATATATATATACTTTTTTCTTTCTTTTCTAGGATGGCTAAAAAAAGATGAAAAAAACTGACGAAGCTTATGATGAATCGAAATTTTCATTGTACCTGTTTTCATTACTATATTATAACACATGACCCCTTGTAGTAAGGAAAGACGACCAGACGCTGGTGAACATAACAAGCTATCAGAAGAGCGTTTGGAAAACGACAAAATTGTTGGATTAAGACTCAGGGCTGGTCAGGTCTTAGGGTCATCACTACTCCACTAGGATGGTGGAGGGATCTGTAGCAACAAATAAATTCCCAAAAATCAATAGTTCTGTGGGTCCTCAACATTTGATGCTGACCGCGCTTTTCTACTGGACTTACCTAGCTGAAGGCGCCCGATCACACATCGACACCAGATCACGAGTGGGTACGTCGTGCTACACATCTCCGTCAACTATTAGCCAGCTCAGATTGATCACTTCTCAATATATCGATTTTCCACTAAATATATAATCAGACCTCTTTATTTGTGACTTATGATTTGACTGGATTGACACACTTCGATTGCAAATGTGTCACTGGTTAAGGCGTTGTCAAACTCAGAATACTTGTGGTTTCGCCAAGCTGAAAATATTAATAGCAATGATTTACAAAAGTATGTGCATGAGTAAATTTTCATAAACAATTATATAAACCTCCATAAAAATACTATATCCTGAGAGTTCCATAATAACTTATAAGGGGTACTAAATACCGTCGAATTGGATTTTAGTAATCATGCCTTTACACCTTCTTGCCAACAAAGTTTATTTTGAATTTCAGCAAATGCCCTTGTTAAAATTACGCGACGCTAGCTCGCAGGTGAATTTTTCGTACCACCTCATATTTCAAAAACATTAAAACTTGTGATCAGAGGTTTTGCAGCAAAATTTACAAGCTTCTATGGGAATCTAGTACCCCTTTTGTCAGGTCCCGTGGACGCATTACGTAGAACATATGTGGGAGGACGGAGACGAAATGTTTAATGAACGTAATATCCAATGTCATTGAAGTTTGAGGTATTTAACTTATATCGAACCGTCGAGTTTTGACATATTTTCTATACTAAATTCGCCAACTAAGTTCACTTTCATTTCTGTTCTTAGGTTCATGGCTTTGTTTTCATACATTTTAAGGCTTTAAAAGTGGAGATTCGCGGTGACGTTTTTCTGCAGCTATTATGAAGGACAATATCTCGATGGACTCATAAATGTTTAAATATATTTACTACTTAGTTGCGGATTTACTTTGAGTTCGGGATTGTTTAGTTCGGGAGTGCAAATATTTAATCTCCTAGCCTGTTCAGAATCTCAAGATTTGAATATGATTTCCAGAATTAAGATGGTAAAATTTTTATTTTCATATGATAGAAAGGCACTTCTACGTTGCTAAAGCAGTCTAACACTATTTGAGGTTTGCCGTAGTTGTTTTTCAATGTCAGATTTTTTTCAGTTCCCACACCATCCTCGGATACCGTCCTCTCTCTGCTCTTCCATTTATGCACGAATGTTAGTGGTTAAAGTATTCTACGCAACACTTGTTTCGCCTGATACCTTTTAGGTATGGCCGGTTACCCTTACCATTGGGGAGGCAAATTTACACAGACAACACTCGCTTTCACCACGGGGTTGTGAAGGTTGTTGAATTTCATTGAAATCATAGACCGATCAATCTTAGACCGCCGTTTTGAACCTGGAAGTGCCGGACGGTTATTTCCTTCTGGTATGGAGCTCCTGAGTAGTGCACATCCACGATCCTGCATGCAGGACTCGAACTCAAAACCATCTAATCTTGCGCGCGAACACCCAATCTTAAAACCACCAAGTTGGTATACAGAGATGTTAATGTTCGACTTTAATCAGTCAACCATCTTGGGCAATCTCTTATACATTGTCTTCAGTGAGTAACTGCCTCACACCAGACGCGAATTTGACCCACTGGTCATGGATTCTCACTCTAATTTCGGGAAATCGATCTTGAGAATGCTAAAATTACTACAATCTCTTCAATTCCCCAGTCTGATAATAATGTGCTCACTAGTGACTGTCTTCAGGATGGATTTCCTGGAGTTCTGTTGGGAAACGGTGACTAGTGGTGTCCAGTCCGTGTCATATGAAGACAGTTGTCCACTCACACCTGACAATGTTGAATTCTACTGGTCACATTTTCCCACCAGACCTCTGAGAGGTCAGGCGTTCAGCGCTTCACTTTTCTGGTGTTCAGTTTATTGAGGTTCCAAGGATTTCAAACTCTGGCTTTCTCGGTCTATCTTTTTTATTCCGTAAGTTGGAGTGAGCTACGATGGCTTGTTCATATATGCTAACAGCCTTAGATTGTTCAAATGAAACAACGTCGTTATATGCAGCACTAACACACTAAGTGAACGAAAAGATTCAGAAAAATGCTAGATATTTTAATATCATTTATTATCAAAAAAGGATATTTATCTACGTAACTCATAGCTATTAATTGCGTTATGTAGCTGAAAAAAGTAGCACATTTGAGCCCAAAAGATACAAATTGGCTTTCGTAGTAAGGTCATGTTTCAGAGCATTAAATTTCTTTACAGTTGAGTTCTCATACTTTACACCTCATCAACACGAAGCTACATGAAAAAATACTTTCTATTATTCATGGACAAATTAGGGAAGCTAGGTACTGCTTTATTGCAGAGAATAACATCGTTATACATATTCAGAAGGAAAGTACTGATTTGGTAACGAGATCATGTGAATATCGAAAAACTAAAATGTTTCTTTTGAACATTAACGTAAAGTATCACGCATGATGACCCTGAATCTAAAGCTCCCAGAAAATACCAAACTTCATCCATGAGGAGATATCTTAGGATTTAATTTTGATTGTCATACTGTACTGTACGACTGCACTGTCACTGTGACCATGTCAAACCAGCCATCAATCTGAACCTTTCCTATGTTAAACGATAAAATGCTGGATGAACGAGGGTCTATCAAACATTATCCAGGTTAAGTGAGACTGATGTAAAGTCATGAACCACACAGCATGGTCTGGAGCAAGTAGTGGTAGTAGCTCTATTATGCACTTTTTTATTCTTTTCCTATGGTGGATTTCTCCAACAATATTATGTCCACTTTATACAGTTATCATGGTGCCTACGTTCCCAGGATGTAATATGAGTTAGGTGATGTCGGAAAGGTGGGGTTTTAATTTAAGCTGGGAGCTCACACCATTCTCATCCAACTCCAGTAGATGCTGATAATCGACACTGACCTTTGTGGTAATCAGAAGTAACTGAAAAAGTTAGCCAAAGAAAAATCCCACGAACACTTTTCGTCATCCTAGAAACACATCATGACCGGTACTCAAGGGGAAGTGGTGTGAACTCAATCAGATGTACTATATTTAGTATTCGAACCAGAGACGGGATGACATCCAAAGAAACAACAGTCACATACACTAGTGATTAACAATATATTTAACGACTAGAGCCATATTTTCTGAACATTATATGTCAATCCAGTCACTAGTTGCTTACGAATCGAAGCTGTCTAATCGCAGAAATACATGTCACATACATCTACGTAGCCTGATCGGTTTGTTTATTATGAAGCTTACTTCACATCTAAATAATCGACATTTTAAAGTACGCGTAAACTTCAATTTTTTCCAGGCTACCATGTATCCTAGTTAGGTCCTTCAGGGTCAAGTACTAGCACCCATTCACTCTTTTTTAATTCACATAGATGACCTCTCTCATCAAGTATCATCTGATTAATTGCTTTCCGCTAAGTGAAACCTGAGAGAGAAGTTTGTAACCACGATGATAAGCTGGTAGTTCAGGAGGATCTCACTTTATCTCACAGTCGAGATAACAATAGACTTATATTAAACACTACAAAGTGTAAAGTAGTCCATGTGAATTATTTCGCAGATTAGACATGCGAACAAGGTGTTTCGAGTTGGGAAACATTTGGGAGTCACTATCAGCTGAGATGGTTCAAATGACTTTTCAGGAGTCCATTAAGAGGAAACCTGACGCATTCTTAAGGACTAAGCTGTGATTCACCAATTTCTTTTTCCCCTTTTAAAGCTTCTATTCCGTCCAAAATCATTTGAACAATTTGAACTTGGTCATCAACTTGTATTTCTAAATATGTTTCTAATCAAGAAATGTACAGATTCAAATATTCTCTGAAAACCATTTCATTTGATTCCAGGTGGCTTATTTACTTAATTTCTGAATATCTGTGTGTAGCTATCGGTTTTTACACCTGTTATGTTAAAAAAATTGCCGAAGCACTTTTTACTGAAAATTCTATATTGTTCCAGAAACAAAATATTGAGTAAAGCCATTAATATTAATAAATATGGGAGTCTATTGAGGTAAAACTTTTATTTCTCCCACAAATATTTGAACTATTTGAACCGCAGTATCTAATCAATGCGTTACTCCTAAGCGAATCATGATGCCCTCAACTCATAGTATATTAGCTCCGTATGTACAGAAAAAGGAAGCTATAAATGTTTGGGACAGTTATAAAGTTAGTTTGAGAACGTGATGAATCAACTTGTAGAATGGAAAACCATTACAACTTGTGCATCGCGTTAACTCGGTTGCGATTTCCGTAATACCTCCTTACAAGTATGGTCTTCCAGATGGATATAATGTACGTGACTTTTGATTTTCTTGTAGAGTGTTCTAGGTGCATCTTTACAAATGTGGTAGCGACAAGCGTTTCCGTAAATTGAGCGGGTTTTCAGCTCGAGTAGTTTGTTGTAATTTCAGAAATGATGGGAAACTTGTTATTGTGGGTGAAGAAGGTGGAACTCTGCGTATCTGTACTACGGACAAAAACAAGTTTCATCTTCGGAAGATGAAAGCACACCAGGGGTATGTTTGACCATTTTTTGTAACTTCGTAGTTCGATTTCAACAGCTTCATTTTTTTATGACGGGTTACGCGCAGCTAGTCTTGGATCAGATGCAAATGTTCGAATTTGGGACGTCACACTGGGTTCTCCATTAGGGCGTTATGCGGTTTGCAATGGAAGCGAAGTTGCTCGTGGTATGGTAACAGGGAGAATCGATAATAATCTCTTATGCTTTGGTGACCTTAATGGAAATGTTGCCATTTACGATATACGCGAGGTAAGGCTCTGATATGCAGTTAAATCTTGTTGTCCAGTCACTAAAACTTCGAAAAATTCCCAGTTTTCGTAATATTATTCAAAGTAGGGTTGATATTCGTTTAGATCAATCCACGGAAATGAGGTTTCTGTGCATAATAGAGTATTATCTTTTCAAGATTATAACAGGGCATAAAAAAACACCCAATCAGCTTGTAAAAAATTCCCTGAAATTTAGGTTGTTAAATATTTAAACATTAGAATTGATAAAATAAAGTTCGTTTATGGTAATTTAGAGATTAGACAATCACATTTGTGTGGATGCGGAAAAAAGATCCATATATTTAATATGAGCGATAACAATTGCACCCTGTAGGTACTCCTAAGATTAAATTTCAGTCATAGTAAAGTTAGAAAAATAATTGAATTCATCATTTTGTGCCTAGATTGGTTTTAAACTCATTTTATTAGAGATAGAGATATTTCATTGTTCTCATTTTCTAAAAGCTATGGATGAAGTCATGGATAGACTTAAACAAGCCGAATCGTTTCACTTTAGGTTTAATTTTATTGAAATGTTCTTGTTAAGGCATAAAACATAAGTGCTTTATATTCTGGTGAGTTACGTATCAGCTTGAAAAATAGCCTTATTCGACATTGATCTCGTTGATTTATTTTATGTGAACTCGCTACTAATAACAGAGCTACACAAATGCACCAATTACTTTGTTGCTTCCAACGATTTACTATGCAGGGTGAGCATGAGATGCAATTAATTTTAAAATAATTCTCATGTCGGTAATATAAGCGGTGCGATATAAGTATAGATACTAGTCCCCAATCAGTGAGTTATAAAATAGTGAAATACGCTCGTATTTCTACTACCGACGCGTATATAGCTATTGCATCTACAAGGATTTATCCAAAACTTTGAAATGCCAAAACGATTAAATGAAAAAGTCGAAGTAAACCTGTGTTAATTTTAGCCGTTGGCTTCAAAAGTACCTAGGCTTTTGAATTTTTAAGGTTTTTAGGAACAACCACTATCATTGGATAAGAACAAGTCCTACTATCAAAAAGCACCGCTCTAATACTAGTAGTGATAATACAGGGTTGATATAAAATAAGTCAAGAATTTCGGTGGAAAACAATCTTGAGTTTTCTATTTCTCCTTAGAACCGGCTATGTTATTCGAAGTTCGCACTTTTTTTTACTTTTTGCGTTAAAGTAACGGGAACTTTGAACTGGGCTTCGCATTTAAATAGGAATCATAATAATTTAACTCTACTAGACAGTGTATATGAACTTGAGTTCAGTTTTTACAATTTACTGTTTTAATTCCACTTAAAGCCAAAGCCTGTTCAAAGAATCAAATTTCCATCTGCCGTCTCTGCTCTTGCTCTTAACAAGACAGATAAAATTCTGGCTGTTGCTGCTGGTTCAGTTGTACAGTCCTGGGACTTCTCTGCTCAGAAATTTCATGACTATGGAACAAGTCAAGACTTACATCTTCATTACAAAGTTATTACTGGTTTATTCATTGAGCAAAATCCCATTACAGATGAAGAAGTTCTTTTGTCTGTTTCGCTAGACAAGCTCGTAAAGTTCACCAGTTTGCTGGATGGTAAAGAATTGTATCAGCTCCAATGTTCATCACCATTGACTGCTATAGGTGTCACGGTAGTTTACTTTTTTGTTAATTGTGCTTTTGTACCGTTCCACTTCTGTTCTGTTCCACCCATTATCATTGAAGTAACAGGATTAACAATAGTGTTTTAATTTACGCATTTGATGATCTGAAAATCGATCTGTATCAACATAGCCAACAAAAAAGAAGTATTTCTTCCTATGCCTAAACTAAAGGTTTTCTCCCATAAGTTATGATATTCGGGTTCGTTCTTAAAGATATAAATCATTGGACTCACCCGGATCTTTTATACCGGCTCTACTAGGTTTTTGTTTAGTGGTGATATTATGAGTTATCTAATTTTTGCTGGTAAAATAGTGTAACTCTACCGATGAACTGCATTTCTAATCATATCTATTTCATCAGAGAATTTCGCCTTTTCAATTTCTGTGGATTAAATACACAATATAATGTCTTTACTTAATTTTATATATCAGTTACTGCTAGTCCTTTTCTGTATAATTTATATTTATACTATCTGAAAATAACCTGCTTAGTACTCTTTACTCAGTATTTTCCCGAATAAAGCTTCATCACTTTAAATTTTGTACTAGGTCGGATAACTCATTTTTCTGTTCCTGTTATTTTAATATCGTAGCCAAAGTGTGAAAGTCTTATAATAGGAGGAGAACATGGCTTCGTTAAAATCAAACACTACGACCCGAAAATAGACACATTTGTCTCGGCTTCATCTGAGGGGCAAAACAAAGCATCTTCTAGTGACACAGAGGATCCGTGTATGAGTATATTGTCTCAGTTTTCAAAGCCAAATAAAGGCGATCGCTTTATGTCAATGAAAATGAACGAATGGCTAGAAGTACCCTTAACTGGTTCTCGCCGTGCTCCCAGGGACTGGTTTTCACCTGAAAAATCTAAAACAACTGCAAGGCCACATGTCCCTTTAATTCATCAAGTAAGCTCTTGATACCATTGTTTCATTTGAATTTTCTTAAACAATTTCCAAAGATTTCAGTTCTAAGTCTTAAATCGTGTTAGCGCTATATTTCTCGTTCAAAGTAGCAATAAGATCTTCCTTGCCTGTTTTTAGAAACCTGTTATCTTTAAAATCCATTGATTATTATAAGTCGCATTTGACATACTGTCGAGAATATGACCGAGTTACTAGATAAGTTAGTGTATTTAGTTATGAATACAAACGTTAAGTAAATAGAAGAGTCGAAGTAGTAAAAATTAAAGTAAAAAATCAAACGAATCTTTAGGAAAAATTTCTGTCGTGGATTTTGTCGTTGATAATTCTTGTATGACAAGTGTCTTCAAAGGAGATATTCTTAATAAATAGTATATATCGTTTGTATGAATGGCGAGAGAGACCGCGAAGTAATTCTTCATCAGTAGTGATCATATTAGTATGTGAACCTGGATACTAACTCGAGGTCTAAATAGAAGCAGGTTGTTTTCTCAGTGGACTACCCCTTTTGTCTTTGATCTAGAAATCTGATCCACATAGCATTGGAGCAAAGTTAGATGTTCATGCGCCATTTTTTCTCGCGGAATCTTCTAGTGTAAAGTTAACTGGACTGTATCTTCTATTATATATTTTCCTTGTTTACTGTATTTATTTATTTATCTTCCTCTTCCAAGTATACTTCCTCTCTCTCTCTCTCTTTTTATCTTCACAATGTTATTTCTTCATTCTATGTAGTGCATTCTATTTTTTAGTTACTGGTTGTACCAGATTTTTTGTGCCTAAGTAAATATAAATGAGACAAACAGCTTACATTGTCCTGCAGTATTTACCATAAAATGCAAGTTGTTTATATCCATAACTCGTATTTCCTTTTATTAACATTTGATTTTGATACGTCTTGTAAGTTGAACGCTATATTCAGATCCTAAGCTAGTTCCGTAACCCCAGACTAGAACTATTCACCGACTTGAACACCAGAGAGACTGGAATATGAGAGAAACACTTTACTGCAAGGTTCAAACTTGTTACAGAAAATCATAGGTATTTATAGATGTTAGCGTATGTTAAATCAACATCCTATTTCAGCCAATCCATTAACGACATATTATGATACCGACCAATAGTATCACGCCACGTTGGAACTCTAGAATGTTCCATCGTGCTCTGATTGGCTGGGGCTCTTTATGGGCCTCTGGAAGCTCTGTTGGAGTTCTCCGGAAGCCGACTCAGATTTACAAATAGCCTTTGAACTTTTAAAGACTAATTCTAATAATTTGAATTCCTTTTATATTTACAATAATAACAGAAAACGGAAATATCACGCAGTGGTCAGTCATTCCACTCCCAAACCCTGACAAATACATATAATCGAGTAGATATTCTACTTAGACGTTTTAGTCACTCTCGTGCGTTAACGTTAGCTTTAACCTATCGATCATGGACGCGTCATTTTAAAAGAAAAATCATTCCTACTCCTCAATATTGTTTAAACTTAGCACTTGCTGTTATACGAGAATTAATAAGAAGAGATACGTTAGTTGCCGCGATTGCAGGTAGAGATAATCGTCAGTTAGAATACATTTTTGGATTTATTTACAACAATATTTGGCGTAAAGATTCATCTGCAGTCTGCTTAGAACTATATCACTGTATATTAAGTAAGTTCTCATTTTAAGACAGTTCTTTTTAATAGTTTATATTATCACTAGTCTTATAACTTATATTGATTGTTCAAGAGATTGTAAACTAAAACTTACTGTGCAATACAGAACAAATAAGATTGAATTTTTGATAACTTTATTACTTAAATTCTTTGATCTTAGCAACATATTAAACTGAACAAGAAGCTTTTGAGCTTCATTAACTTCTCAATACCATACTATTTATTGTTTTCTATCAGATATTTAGTAAATCTCTTAGAAAATGAGCTTACTTGAATGGATTGCATTCTCTACTTCGGAAATTTTGTGAATCGTAATTATTAACTCCGCTTTCAAAAAGTGATCTGAAGACTTATTGTAAAACAGCCAAGCTGTAGTTGTTGGTGAATATATCTGCATCCGTATTTATCTACTCTGATAGTTGCAACGTGTGCTTGTCAAAGTCAGCAGTAAAAAGTGTCGTTAAAATGTAAATGAAGTGAAAGAGAATGATACATAATGGAAGATACAGTCCAGTTAAAAATAATCCTTTTATCTAAGGGAGATCTCACTTTAACAAACTATAGCAATATGTAGTTAAAAGCCACAGTTATTGTTTATTCACGTATATTAGTTCAAAGATCGAATTCTGAAGTTGTTAACTGCGAATATGTATGTTAATTCTGATTCCGTTTGTCACCGAGTTGGTGATTTAGTTTTATAGACTTATGTGGATTTTTATTTGCTAGTTATTGACAATAGCTAAAGAGGCTATCAAAATTTTAATATTGATCAGCCGTTAATGATCAATATTACTGAAATAATTATCATTCTTAACAAATTAATATTTGTGGTCACCACTCGGATAATTCATTACTTACCTTCAAACACCTTAGTAAGGTAACTAGCGTGGACCATATAAGCTTCAAATTGTAGCTAACGCTATTGTACACGCTTTAGAACTTCAAGCCTTACACTTTAAATTCTCATTGCATTTTTTTTTCGACAGACACATATACTGCTGAGGAACTGGTGAAAATTCGTGGATTTGCGAAAGTTACTAGACTGCTCGAACTCACATCTTCAAACTTCTATACTCTAAGCAGAATCGTAGACACAATTGTATATCAGTCCCACAATTTACCGTATTCAAAAAATGAACAAGCCGTAGAAAGAATGTATAATTATCCCTCATCTAATTCGGAAAATTCACCAGAATGCAAAGAAACATCTGTAACTAATAAGCGTAGAAAACTTGATGTTACTTAGTTATTGTAATCCTGTATAGTGAAAATAAATCTCCTTTCTGACATTCATGATTGTGGTTACCAGTCGGGCTTTCAGGTAATACAGCTTTGTTATTGTCTGCAAACGAGTTTCTGTTGGAACAATAAAAGATTCCCACAAAATTCAACTGCAACCACTCAAAAAATTCCAATTGGCATTTCAGTACTTTTAAAGCACTTGGGTAAAGTGGGATCTAACAATTCAAAATCTATACCCTTAGTGGTTGATTCTTCCAAACACCGAGATTTCCCATAAATACCGGTCCTTTTCACAATATATCATCTTCAGTCTAAATTACACTAAAGTTTCTGAATTCCTTTTATCCTCTCAGTTGCTTAAGGTTATTTCCTTTTAGTTTACTGATGTCAAGCATGGCAACTTGAAACTAAGCAAGTTCGTACCAGATACTACTTTAACTGCTGTCAACAGTTTAGGATGGTGCTATGTTTGAAGCGATTACGAGTTCACCTAATCTGAGAACGGAACGAAGACTGTGACACGATGAACAACAAGCTAGCTATTTCGGTGCGTCCCATCCCCGCTGACTAGAGAGAGAGGTCCAAGTTCAGAAGGGGGAAATATGTTCCACAAGCAGCCAGGAAACAAAAAACAAGAAGCACAACTTAAGCGTATATATACAGCATAAAAATCTCATTGGGAAGCGTTACAAAATACCATACTAAAAGATACAACGAACCGATAGCGTTTAAGATCTTCCCAAGTGGGAAATACGACATAAAGATGAAAATTGGTGCTTTCGGCGCGAAAACAAGAAATTCAAATTTTTAAAATGGAATTATAAAAATAAGACATTTATCAAATGAGTTCTGGGGATCTAACATCCCCAACAGATGGTTGTAACTATTATGGATAGTTTGCTTTGGTGCATCGGGTTTTTGAATCTCACATAAGAGTATATTTTCGTTTACCTATACTTCAAAATGTCATAAATGTTTCAAACAATGTAACTCGATTCCTAAAAAACTATATCTAGTTGGCGATCCTTCATGAAACTTTCCACATTAAACTCATAAACTAGCGTGGGTTAATAATCAACTGGTGTGTTTCTGTGTCGTTAATGGCGACCACACTAAAATCCATTTCCATTACTTGACGATAATCATATCCACAATAATGTTCTCTTTTAGTGTATTTTCAATGTTTAACATAAATCCCTAATGGAGATTTCATTGTCTCTAGAAATGTTCCTATAACTCTCGATGTATTTCCTACCAATTGTAACATTTGGGTACCGAGCTTCGAGGTAGATATAATAATACTTTTATTGGTCATTTAACGTCAAAAAGTCGAATATAGCAACAGTTAATAGCTCTAACTTTGCTCTAGCCATATAACGGTGGGCTTTGTTTGCTACGAATCTGTCAGCTATAAAATTATATCCAAAATATATCAACCAATCGGCTGTATATATACTTGACATTTTTGTGATGCAAAGCACATGCTCTGTCTATAAACACTGAACCTGACTAATTAAATACGATTCAAGTAGTTTGTACGGCATCGTGTAAAATTCATGTAACTTGTCGTTTCTTGAAAGTCTTCAACTAACAGGTTTGCGCACCCTTCATGATTATCTCCGAAATATTGTAGATGGATAAATCTGAAGACATTTTTTTAAAGATGTACTGATGGTTTAAAGTAGTGTAGACATGTAATTTCGTGATATTTCACTAAAATACTTTGCACATTGAACTTTCAATATACTGTCAATGAAATTCTCTCTAACACAATTCCATAGCATAATTTCGTACAACCAATGGAAGGTAGGTGAGATAGCAATAAAAAACTACTGCTTGTCTAAAATGTGCCTAACATTTCCTGTTAAGAGTGAATTATTATTATTAATGGCTTTATATATATGACCGACACACTGATAACATAGGAAAAATTCAGTTTGCTCTTGTTGGATCAGTTTATTGTACGCCTTGCAATTTGTGTGAGACGAGGTAGCGAGTATTTAGGGGAAGATTCGATATAGTTTTCTGTACAGGATTTTCAAATATGTAGTGCGACCCACTGTACAAAAATACGGTTTAGTGTCTTTATGCTGTAGTAGGTCTCGTGGTTTTCATTACACAGATCACATAATTAGGTTGCAATATCCTCATTGCACTGAGAATGACTAATGGATGTTAGGCGTATATAAGAAACCCACAAGCACATTAGGACTACAGCTGGACTTACTTACTGCCTTCACAACTTATTGTAAGTACAATATAAATGCTTATCTATTCCTTACAGTGAATTAACAACCAGTTTCCAATTCAACTTCGATTGATACCTAGTTGTGATAGCAGATGAAGCTCTGTCACTTAAGTCACTTCACTTGAGACTACAGTATCGTTAATACCCTACATGATCATGCAATGTTTGATGAAATAAATTTTTTTGATGTCGACTTGCAATTGTCATTTAATGAATCGTAAACAGGGATTCGGACTAAAACAAGCCCAGTTTTCTTGAAGAGCTTACACACAATTGGCCTCTCCTAGCTAGCCACAACTCAATTTTCTCAATCAAAAAACACTCAAAGATACAGAAGTCTACTCAATTGAGAAAAGACGAGCAGATATAAATACATTTAGCAATGGGGATAGATTGTAGTTATTTGTCAATAGACTTACTTCTTATGGCGTATGGGCTTTGTGGGAATTGTCAACATTTTATAGATTAAATCATGAGCTGATCTTAGTTAAAGCACCACTGAAAACCAGGAAGCATTAAACGGCTATTTTGTCCTAATGTAGGATACCTTGATAGTGTGCATACACAATTGCACACCCGAATATTGGACCTAGGACTTTTGATCCTGAACGTGAACACATGACCCCTTGACCAGTAAAATAAAATCTGACGGTATATATATGTGTCTAACTTCGGTCGATTCACATAATTGTATGACCGTCTTCTATTGCCTGTGGTGGGTAACTGTGTCTTGTTCAATATAGTTGAACTACATCAGCCACAGCTTCTGACTACAAGAATCTCATCTTGAAGCTACTCATTAGTGAGCACAAGATATATTTGTTTGCGCATTGATTAGTAATAAAATTTTGGATAAACTATAACTCAATTGAACTTGTAATTGATTGTTCAATAAATTTTATGAGACCAATTTACTAATGACCTAAAATTATTAATGTCACTTATGCAGTGCGTTTACAAAATAAAAAGAAACAGTATCATAATAATACGTGTAGATTCTACATCAATATTACAATAACTTATGATAGTATTAAATGCTTATATTTATGAAATGTCCAAAAATACATAGATTTGATCTGTTTACTACCTATGCTGTCTTTGGGTTCTCAAACAACAGTCAGAATGGCACACAGCAAGTTCAGCCAGTTGTGAGAAAGTAGAATTATGGTCCTGCGAAACACTGATGAGGTTTGTTTAGTAAGGACAAGGGAGCAGCTAATAAGTAGGCGATTTTGAGCGGAAAATCAACCTGAGAAATGTATTGGTATCAAATACTTATCTTTAAAGTCACTGGCGATTGCGTTCAAAGTATATGGAATTTGAAAAAAAAAGAAACCTGTATTAATTTTGTTTACAACTCGAGTTTTAAAGAGTCTCTACATAAACAGGAATTACAGAATCTTATGTTTGGTTCCTTCCTCAATAACTTCGAAATTAATACATATTAATTTATGACTACATTTACTCCAAGTGTAACAGCAAATATGGATCATCAGTTTAAAAACATCTCACGGCTATATATTGTTTGGGGTTTCATGGGACTAAGTATAAATAATATCTATGTTAGTATACAAATCCATCAAGTTATCGAGAGCAATAAAATTATTTAGAACTGAGCTAAATATCTCATTTTCTTTAGTGCATAAGCGAGCTAGTCTATGAGAACAAGCCATATGTACGACTACAAAAAATTTAACTGGTCGATTGACACTGGAAATTATTTAGAGTCTAGTAGATGTAGAGGTGATCTCTCAGAAAGTGTAATAATCAGTCTTCTATTATATATTACCGAACTTATAGTTCACAAATAATATCCAGAATTTAGCAACCTAATACTATTTCATCGTCAAATTTTATAATTTCTTGTAGATGGTATTCATTGCGGACTAAAATCGTTTGGGATACTGATATTATTTTACATAAGAATGTTATTTAAATTCATTTAGTATTGTTTGTTTGAATCTTCCCATCGATGTGTTAGGACTGCAACTGGTCAGTCTCTAATTGGCATACTGTGTGTATTGCCTCGATATAGCCTTAATTCACAAGCATGGTAAGCAAAGATGGAATCGAGGACGCGCGTTTCGTCCTGGATTCCACTGCTAGCCACTATCTATCTTTAAGAATGTTATTGTATTTAATCAAAATTTATTCAGATCTAAATTTTATTTATAATAATTCAGTAATTAAAATTTTTTGATGTTCATAAAATGAGAAATATTCTGTATGGATGATTGTACAACTCGTGAATAACATCTTTAAAGGAAAGTAATAATTGACTAAATTCTTTATGGTTTACTAAATAAAGAAAACAAACAAACTAGAAAGAACATTAATATAATCAATTCACTTCAATAGTTTTATTTAAAAAGGAAGTCTTAACAAAATAAGATATTTAAAACAAACAAACAAAATTGTTACGTCTGGCCGATTGTGAACGCTATATTTGCTTCCCTAAGCTAGTTCCGTATCCCCGAGCTAGAGCTATACAGCAACTTGAAGACCAGAGAAAAGGCATAAAGTATGAGGGAAGCGCTTTAATACAGGATTCATTTATGTACAGAAAATACAGGGGTTTTATAGTAATTAAGAGACCTTGAGTTTCCATAGTAGCAGTGTGTTAAACAGCCAACCAGGACCTCGTTATTTTAGTAGCATAGCTTCTAACTAATCGCTGATTGGTTGGGGCTCTTTATGAGCCTCTGGAGGCTCTGATAGAGTTTACTGTATGCCGACTTAACAAAAATAAAAAAGGTTTTGCATTTTCATACACACCTATATAACATAAACATTAATATGGTTTATTAAAGAATTCATTACAAAACTATTTTTTGTTCATGGGTCAGTGATATAAAAACAAAAAAAGTACATTAATTTCTATGACCTAATGAATTTATCAGGTGACAACTATTTTTTGTAAAACTAAAGGAAGTAATATAATTCATTAGTTTTGATTAAAAAAAACTTAAATTAACTTGGCAAGAAAATCAGAGAACATTGTTTTATAAATAGTTCATAGGGAATTTAATGTATCTTGTTACATGTTTTGAAACAATAAACTATTGTGAAAAAGTTTCACACTACTACTTATAAATTATGTTTAACTATATTATAGAAGAAAATCATATTTCTTAACTTTGTATCTGTTATGCCCCGATAACAATAGTGAATGGTAACTTTGGGATCCATTTGTGAACCAATATTATGCATATAATTTCTATCGTATATTTGCTAAATAATTAAACTACTCATATTCATATTCCTTTCATTGTGAGCTTTATTTTGACCCTTGGACTATTATTGTACGATTTACTATTCCTGGGTTATACCCAGTCTATTAATTACTGCTCCCCCTAATCACAGCCACATTCGGCTACTCTTGTACAAATGTTGATTTCTATTTTATTGGTACGATGTGGTCAGTTTGTTTGGTATATAAACTCAACGGTTCATACTACAGAGGCTGTTATTGGTGTTCTGGACTTAACTGGCTGGGCTAGGCAGAAAGCAGGACCGATATGTACTCTAGACTGCTCGTACGGTTTTCGTGTGTCACTGTTTCAATCGATAATTTGCTGCTCTC